CCCACACACACACTATCATGATCCCAATTCTACCTTACAAATCTGGCTAGACCAGAGGATGTACACTGGTACAGATCGGAACTGAAAACACAGGGAATCCAGGACAGATAATCCCTTCAGGACCAGTAGTGAGAGTGGTGATAACCAAGAGGGTGGAGGGAGGGTGGGATAGAAAGGGAGAACCGATTCCAAAGGCCTACATATAACTCCCTCCCTGGGGGATGGACAACAGAAAAGTGGGTGAAGGGAGACGTTGGACAGTGTAAGACATGACAAAACAATTCATAAAGTATCAAGGGCTGACACAGTGGCTGCAGCATTGGGCTCAGACATGGGAAGAACTGTGGGGATGACACAGCCAGGCGGTGTTTTGTTTTGTCACACGCAGGGTCACTGTGAGTCATCACTGAGCCCGTGATACCTGACAAGAGGGGAGCAAATTGAAGGTCTTTTCTCCCTCAGAACTGCTGGTGGGCTCGAACCACTGACCTTGCAGCACATAACCATTCCGCCACTGGGGCGGAGAGGAGAGGGGTCACCTCTTCCTAAGGAAGTCCTTTAATCTCAAAACCAAGAACGTTCCCCCTCACCTCCGGCTTCCTTCTAAGAAAGTTTGTTCTTCTAAGAAAGACTTTCTTAAGTCTTTCAAATGTGGAGGACAAACATGGAAATCAGGAGCTCCCAACCTTATTTGAGGACGCACCAAAATATTTCTGACCCTGCATCTTTTAAAATAGACTAAGCAGCTCGCATGAAATGCACCTACACAAGGTCCCCTATATTTATGCCTATATGGATATCTCATCGGTATACAAATAGACCCACACAAACACCTCTTATGTCGATAAAGAAAGCACGGTCTATTCATAGGAAAATAGTTGGGTCAGGCTTTCTGGGCTTTTTGTTTGTGCGCCACAGGGTGCCTGATCGCACTGCAGGGGCAGGCATCCCATGTCACGCCAGCCACCTACGAAGCGCCAGAGGCAGCATGAGAATGCTAATTAGAGGGTGTCAGGAGCCAAGGAGA